CGATGCCCGAGAAGGATAAGCACGATATGTAAATATTTTCTTCAGCGAACGGGAAAAAACCTTGTGTAGCAAAAAGTTACACAATTCTTGAACTAGTATTATCGTGTTAACTGCAACGTAAAAATGAAAAAAAAAAAAAAAAAAAAAAAAAAATAGAAAAAGAAAAACCGACAGTATTTACGAAGGACGCGCATGTATGTGTTATGATATCGTAATTTTACAAATATAATGCGCGAAGATAAAATATTTAAATATAAACGTATACATTCCCTCTGACCCTTCCCTTCGCTCTATGCCCCTCCCCGAATATATCAACACTTGCAGAATATTAATAATTGTACCAACGATACAGTGTTTGCTTTTCCGTTAACTGTATTAATAACTGCAACGAGCGAGTTCAATTGTGTTTACTGAAATTACATTCGCCGGGCCAAACAAATGCGTCGTCATAAATGCGGCAGTGCGATTCGCATTGGTTGCCACGCATTCGAGAATGAAAATATTTCACGAGACGTTTGTAGGCGCGTGGCGACGATATATTTGTGCGCGACACATACACATACACATACGCGCGATGGTCTCTATAATTATCGTACTACAAAATATATATCGCCGTGTAATACGTCACGTTGCGCGAAAGCTACACGATGAGGGATAAAACCGGGGGCGGGATGAAAAACCTCGTATATAACGCTTTTTCAGGCCGTAAACTTGTAATGTCATCAGACCAAGAGGGTCGGCCGGTAGATGCCTGTAATCTGTCCGACCATTTAATTAATCTCCGTTTGAACGCGTAAAAACGCGCAAAGAGCGTTACCCTGATCTCTCTCGGCTCGGCAACACGTCGCTATATTCCCCGACATCGAAAAATGTGTCGTCTAATTATCGCTAATGCCATCGCTCCTTATCGATCCTTAATTTTGTCAAATATATATATATATATATATATATATGCATCTATTTCATTTATATATAATAATAATTATAACAATTATTATGATTAGATATTGTTAGATATTATCAATATTATTTGATATTAATAATATTATCATTGTGCGAACCGCGATATATATTGCAAATTCTTTTGGTAAAACTAAATTATTCGATAAAGCGTCAAATTTTGGAAAAAAAATTTGAGATAAATTTAGAAATAATGAATTTTTTTATACAGAAAATCTTTTATACAGAATCTTTCATACATTTTTTTTATACAGAAAACTAAATTATTTGTTAAAGCGTCAAATTTTGGAAAAAAAATTTGAGATAAATTTAGAAATAATGAATTTTTTATACAAAAAATCTTTTATATAAATATATAATATATATATATATATGAAAAAACATGACAAATATGTGATAAAAATGAGACAAAAATAGAAACTAAATTGAAATAAAAAGAGAAAAAAATGAAACAAATGTATATAAATATTTTATATATACATATATATATATATATAAATTTGATATATGTAAAATATTTTTATTCTTATTCCAAAACAGTCATATCGGAATTCATAACTCTTAGTAATATCCTGTATTTCGTATAGCGAAACAAGTCCTGCGGCTATTTAGAGAAACTTCATATTGCGAATGAAACGTAAAAATTCATCTGACAAAATATTCACCCGGTTTCATACGTTCGCTTCCTCGTTATTACTGAAATTTGTTCCGATGTTATCGACCAATGAAATATACTGTCGTGATACGCAAACAAGTTATAATATGAAATAGCTACGGGTCAATGAAAGAGCTAATATTAAAAGTGTTTCTCTTGAATGAAGCAATTGAATAAAAATGTATATAATTCACAAAAGATATATAATCGCAATATTATATGTACAATGTTTATTTTGAGATTTTGCGGATACTAGCCATTAATCTTCAGCATCGGTCGTTGAAACAAATTTGTCTCAATGCATTTGCATAATAACAGATTAATCGTTCTACTACATATATAATTGCATTATATAAGCTTAATACATTTAATTGAACAAAATAATTATTGCAATATGATCATAATGATAGAGTGATTGCATATTGTTTAGAAATATAAATAGACATTATTAAATAACATAGATAAAATGTTAATAAAGAAGAAAGAAGATGATATGATATAAAACTTTTGTCTTCCGCGTATTCTATTGTAATTGTATTCGCTCTTTCAGCAGTATACATTTATATCGAATTTGTTTCCGGCATTATATATCGCGTTTTACATCTCGCGAAAACACGATGCATCTAAGAGCGAACATTTGCAAAGGGCGACACAACAACGGGCCAATTTCTTATACAATTTCTCGTCGTCGCGACAACAGTGAGGCATATAATACTATTGCAGACAATACTATTGCATTATTACTCAATCGTAATTTAATTTCAAAAGAGCCCAGGGTAATACTCGTTGACAAAAGCCTTTGCTAGTTACGCTCTGCCACAAATAGAATTAAAGGACGCCTAAAAGGATAATCCATGGTGTATTCGCATTGACAACAGCGACAAATACATTTGTCCTTCCTTTGTCATCGGCTCTCACGAATGACGTCTCATTCGTATTGTAATTACAATAGATTTTTCTCAATGCGGTTGAATTAATTAATTAATTACGTGGACATAAATCATCAATCCTTTTTGTTGCTTTCCCACTTTGTTTATTATTTTCGCGTGTACATGCGCGCGGGTTCGGTTTGAATGTTACGTGAAAACTCGAGGGAAACCGTCTTAAGAATACGAAGATTATGTTTCGCATAAGCCCCGACAAACTTCCGCCTCCACCGTTCCTCGCCATCTCTTTGTAGCCGACTTAAAAGGCGGATGCAATTTTACTTTACGGATAATTAATAATTAAATATCGCGGAGCTTTCAAAGGTAGCGCAATACTGCACGAAGGGACCATAATCGTCATTTCCTCATTGGATACTATAATATGTTTCCTTTCTCACTATATATTCTAAGGACTTTGTTACAAAAAAGTCATTAATTATGTTGATATTAAAAATTGCAAAGACGTTTTCTTCGGACTCTTAAATGTCAAATTTCAATTTAAATTACAAGGAATAATCATTTAACGGGTAATTTTTTTTTTTAACTTTTTCAAATTGAAAATACAAACTTTTTCCAAAACACACAAACTCTTCAAGTCAATTAATTTTATAATTAATTAGGCAATCTACGGATGGAGTGCTGACTGTGTCTGTTTTATCGATAAATATTATTTTCATTTAACCATTTATTGGCTATTTTATTTTATTTTATCGGTCAACCTAAACTAAGTAATAAGAAAACTATAATTATTTAACTTTCTTGGCTTCTTTTTATACACACACATATAGTAGCCCAGATTTGTTATTATGAATACTTTAATTCTAATAAAGTATTTTTCATTCTGTATAGCCAATAAAGAGTTAAATGATATAATAATATTTTAAAAAAGACAAAAAAAAATATTTGGAAGATCAAAATATTAGAAACACGTGTAGTTAATCGATTTAAGATTCGCACGCGCGAATAAAATTCGCGAAAGAACGACGTGCAAAACGAGCGATATATATCCACTTTCGATGCGGCCGTATCCTAGCCGGATACGGAAACGGAGGCAAAACGAGCGTCGGTGGTGAGCGAGCGTGTCAGTACAGGGAAGAGGCACGTGCCCGGTATTTAGGAGGAGCAGTAACGTAACAATAGGCAAGAGTACAGGGGTGGAAACGGCGTAATGGTGTGTCGCGGTTCGCCCGAGCTTACTTTTATGTCTCACCGGGGAACCCTTTCTTTCTCTCTCTGACGCGCGCACTCACACATGATCCTGACTTTCAACGCCCCATTCGCTACTTTTCTCCCGTTGCCTTCTCTCTCTCTTTGGCTCTTTCTCTCGCGCACTCGCACGTTTGTTTTAGCTCAGCGGGAAACAGCCTAGAAGCGCAAGAGCAAAAGAGAAGAGGTGAAAGAGAGAGAGAGAGGACTCGGTAAAGGCCGCTTTGTCACCGGTTTCCTTTCTATGTTATTAAATTGTATGTTGTTGAACCCCTTTCCGGAGTATCGCACTGTATCCCGGCGCCGCAGTTGCCACTCAGAGGACTACCTTGCAGCGCCTACACGTTATTTGTCGCGGTGCGGATACCTTTGCTCTCCTTCGCGAGAGAAATCTGTTTGACCAAAATCTAGTTACGCTCTTTTTTTCCCGGTGACTTTTAAACAAAGACAATGCTATCGATGCGTGAAATGAAATCTTCGAACCTCAGTTTTTAGGTAAATCAATAATGATTGACGCAAGCAAGTTTCTTTCGACCGGTTAGACAAAAATGTTTGCGAATCTACAAAAAATTTCTGAATGCACTAAAGAAGAGTTTCTTTCGTTATAAAGATAATTAAAATATAATACCAAGAGAGCTCTCGAGTTTTTTGCAATAGTTATGTAATTATAATCAGTGTTGTGCTTAGACGGTTTTAAAATTATTTAGATAATGATGAGATGGAAAATATGTAAATTTACTTTAGAGATGAAGATGAGTCTGAATTTAAATATATCTTAGGTAACAGATACAATTATATAGCGATTCATCTAGATAACTTCCAGATAATACTATTTTTAAAATCACTTATGTAAATACAGTTATAAAAAATTGTAAATTATAAAAGGAATATAAAAATATATTCATACTTATATTTATGTAAGTTTTATAGCTCACTACTTAAGTTGTACTACCAAAGTATCTGAATATTATTCTAGATAATTTAATAAAGATAACACTTTTTCATTTAAGATGCAGATATAGATAATATATATTTTTCTTATATCTATATAAAGATAAGAAATTTCATCTAGATGATCGTCTATATAATTTTATTTAGACGACAGCAAACACTGATTATAATTGTTTTAATTGTGCAAAAAAACCGCGCCTTTATTCGTTCATTCCGTATCGACACGAGAAAATTGGTTTATTGCAGATCGAATTATTTCGCCGTAAACTTAGACAGATTTTTATTAAAATCAAAGTACTTACAGTCGACCGACACTTTGATCTGCTTGCTGACCGTAGGCGGTATGCCGTTGCTGGCGATGCACAAATACGCGCCCATGTCCAGTCGCGAAATCCTCGCCATTTCCAGCGTTTCGCCTTCCCACTCGGCCACTGAAAACCACCATCCATTATACGTATAAATGTAAAATCGATCGCTCGCGGTTAATTATTTCTCACACTGACATATATTTTTGATTACTCCATTACGTTTGAAAATTACAATACGTATATATACATTTATATGCCGCTTGTCGAAGCGTTTCGTTTCGCGCGAAATTAATTTCTGTTACCGGATAAAGTTTTGTTGATCGATATCTTGGAACCGTCGTCCCGTTTCCAGCGGATACTGGGCGTCGGACTTCCGGTCGCTTTGCAGGTGAGGGTCACATTGGCACCTTCGCGAACGATCGCGTCCGACGAACTTTGCGAATCGTCGATGTTCGGTGGCACTGTAAAGATAACAAAAGACGTTGGCGTTTTAGTTATTGATTGTAAGAGACATGTTCAAAATTTGTTTCTTTTTTTTGTCTTGCAATTATAACTCGATTTACGATGGAACTGGCGAAAAATTTTCATTCTCTATGCATATTGTCAATCGTGAATATTATATCCAAATATATACATATATATTATTCGCGTATCTCTAATTATTTAGAATTGATGCTATAGCTAACAATTAATATGTAATATATCGCAATGTGAATATAAACAAGTTATTAATATAAATAGACAAATATTGAACAGTCATACACGCAGGGAAAACACAATTCACGCAATTGCGATCGAAAAAAAAAAAAACATTGTCATTGATAAATTTAAAAGAAGCGAACACTACGGGAAATAGCAGGCAGAAATGGCGCGCAGATAAGAAGCGGGTTGGAAGGAAACGCCCGTGAAAAACTCGTAATCACTAATGATAAGAAGCGCCTTCTCCTCGCTGTAAGAGAAATGTTCTGAAGGATTGGCGGAGGAAGGGAGAGGCTGGGAAAGTCTTGTCACGTTTCATCTTAAGATGGAAGGAACGGGGAAGGACTACATTTTTGCCGCGAGCTTTCGAGTTTCCCCCGATATTTTGCATACCCTTGACGGATTCTTCCGTCCTTTCCCTGGCTCTCCTCTTCGGCAATTACTAAACGGGCTTAACATCGAGATGAAACGGAATCTCCCACGTTAACGTTAACCGATCAAAAATCACGTCGATGCGCGATTTTCTCCTGCGTTCATTCAGGACTTTGCATCAATTTTTGCCGCAGAAAAGACGAGAAAATTTGTAGATACAAAAGATACATCATTTTTTATATTGTGATAAATATTTCATAAAAGATTATTTTATTATTGTACTATTATATATATTATTATGGTTATTATTATTATTATTATATTATATACTATTAATATAGTGGAGAACGAAAAAATATTATTAAAAGATAATTTTGTTCCATGTGACGTTTGATTTTCATCATCAAATAGAGCCAATTAATTAAGACGGCGTATGTTAATATTATTGAGATCGGCACGATGGTGCAGCACACGTGGCACGTAACGTTTATTCATAATTTATGAATGGCGCGCAGTTGCGTCAGAGTTTAAAGTGACATTACTCGCTAAAAATTAAGCGGCAAGTATTAAGCAGAAACGGCACTTTTACAGTTTCCACCGCACACGTGTTCGTTATCGCCGGCGCGATACGCATATTGCATATCGCATAGAGAAAGAGAGAGAAAGAGAGAGATTACATATTTGTATATAAACGATATATTTGTTGAATAAATTTTGCGAAATCGCGCTCTTATGCGCTGCGCTATATAAATGAATTATTAAAACATCATTTTTTTCAGCTCGCATGAAAAAAAAAAACAACTATATAAATCACGGCTGTAATTTATCAACGCGTTATCGATAACTTTATTTAATTGCGCTATGACAGCGATATCTCGCATCTGCATATATTGACTACGTCATCGCTGTTCTTGAATTAAACCGTGCTTGCGCGCGCATGAGAGAAAGAGAGAGAGAGAAACAGGCAGAGGGAGAAGGGCGTATAATTCAATTATATTGTCGTCGTGGTAACGAATAATATTAGTATACGGACATACGTCGTCTGCAACGTCGACGTTGATCAACCTGGAAATGCAAGTCGCTGAATTGGCTGACGTGCTTAAATGATATCGTACTGCTTCTACTATACGAATATGACACATCAGCCAAATTACTCTTCTTCTTCGTATACCAATTAATTAATCGGCATTTGCGAACGAGACACTCGAAGAGCGATGATGTCGATTTTATCAATCGACGATACGCGATAATTAATGCGACAAATTATCAAGTTAATCGCGAGTTAATTTTTTCGAATGAATGGAGTAAGTATAGAAAGGAAGAGACTTCTCGATATACAGAATTAGAACGATTGAAATTGTAAAATCTCGGAGAGACAGAAAAAGAAACTTGCTCTTTCAAAAGTTGAACTTTTAAAATATATCGATTATAAAGGGAATATAGGAAAAAAATATGTAAAAATATTAATCCCGATCGCAACTGAAATTGTAATAAATTAATGAGAACTGTAATAATATTAATGATGATGTACACTGAAATGGAGAAACTGCGAGAGCTAAGACAGACATTTCACATATTTACAAATAATTCGCGATCGCAAATCTAATTTTTCCAACTATTTTGTCTCGTAATTTTCAAGTTGGTTCAACGTACGAAAAAACTTCTATCTTTAGATATTGTATCAGACTTTTTAAATAATATTGCAAGTCACGTTTTAAATAATTCACTTACACAGTTCAAATAGATCGTAAACAGAATGAAATAAATTTAAAGAAAAAGTTGAAGTTGCAAATTATGACAATGGAGAATTTCTGAATATATGTGGTGAAGAGATATATTTTACATACAGGATATTTTTGGAAATGGAAGTAGGAAGTTAATTGAATGACCGTTTTGTTTTAACCATGTTCGATAATGTAAATTAACTCAAATAGAATATTACGATTTGCAACATATTTACAATTGCATTATGTAATACGCATATCGCGAGATATACAATATGCATTTTTCCTCCTTATATTTTATCATTATCGCGTTTTTAATTTATTATAATTATTTTATTATTATTATTATTATTGTATCTCCAGCATTATTCCTTGCACGTAATATCTCTGTGTACGATTATTACAAACGTAGAATTATTTTGTCCGATATTTCGCATATTATTATAACGGTCAGCTGGATAAAATGGAAATATTGCACGATGATTTTTAAACGATATAAAATCTTTCTTTCCCCGACACAGAATTCATTACGATATCATTAACGCGGCGACGCAATTATTCATTCCGTTAATATAGGAGATTATATTTACAAAGGACGGAGAGAAGAGGGTAGGAAGTTTGTAAATTATTCCCCTACCGTCACATTCTCTTATAATAATTTCGCATTGAGAAACAAAAGGAAAAGAACATTTCCTTTGTGCCCGAACAACATCCGATGGCCGGCAGATACATACGCGGCCAATCCTATGAATTACCGCAGGTGTCCGCCGATATCTCGCATTAATGCTAATGCAGGGTGTTGCCGAATTGTTGAACAAGGGCAGATTGAATGCGCGCGCGCAAAGAGGGAGGGAAAGGGGTCGCATCCCCTTCTCAGTCGCGCAACGGTCTGTCGATGCATTATTCAAGCGCAAACGCCGCGCGTGTTACCGCGTCGCTGTTGTTCGTTAACTTGTCCTAAAGTCTCCTGGTAGCGCAAGGTTTCGAGAGACGCCGCTCCGGTTAGGCGAGATCCGACGAAGGGTAACCCGAGGGTAAACACGCGCGCGGTTACGCGTGATAAACTACCCCCTCTTCGCGGCTTTAATATATTTTCCTTCGACGTGTACAAAAATATATACATTACGCGTGTATCGGCGCGTTTAAATATCCAAATATTGACGATTCCAAACGGGATTGCCACTTTATCGAGTCCCCCGGTGAATCTCTCTTTCAGATTTTTTTTTTTTTTCGACCGAAGAAAAATATATTCGATCTGCTTGTATACCGAAAAGTGACGAGTCTGACTAACACGCGAATGCTGTTTCGGTTATGTCGATGTTTATATAAGGTGTCCGATAACTAACGGACCAACGATTACAAGTGGATTCTTTGGTCAATTTGGGAACGATTTTTCCTCAGCGAAAATGTCATCATTTTTTACAACTTTCCAATATTTGTCATTATGTATCTTTATAACTAAGCCTCAAATTCAAATTTTATTATAGTAAACTCTACCTGAAATTAACTGAAGAATGTAATTATGTTAGACTTTTAACTCCAAAACGTTTAGTTTTCAAAAACCCATTTTTTTTTCAATCGCTTATAACTCGAAAATTATTGACTTCTCAACATTTTTCTAAGGAAAAATCGTCTCCAAATTGGCCAGAGAATCCGCCCTTAATCATTGGTCCGTTAGTTACCGGACACCCTGTATAATATAATTTTAATACCTGTGGATTTCAGAATTTATAGAATTGCTAAACATGTTTTTGCGGTAGAGGAAGATACGATTCTAATATATAGAGAAGAAGAGAGGTTGAGACAGAGAGAGAGAGAGAGAGAGAGAGAGAGAGAGAGAGAGAGAGAGAGAGAGAGAGAGATGGGATGGAGGAAAAGACGCTTTGTCGCTGTAATGATCCTAAACGTTGCTTTGTTCTGACAGCATATTACAATTAACATCCAAAAGAGGGAACTGTACTGGGATAATTATCGAGTTCCGTCGTGAATGAAATCATTGTAAACTGTAGATTGCTAATTACAGTATGCCCTTAGAGCATTTAACGTCAAACTCATCGTACAATACATAATATGATATGCTTCTTGATTGGTATGACCCGTATAACTTGTGCGTTTAGTAATACGGAAATTCAATTCAAGGAGAATATAATATAAAATTTTAATGTAAAAATGAAATTTTACATTTTAAATTTATACGTTATATTCTCCTTGAACCGAATCACACATTCGCATATGTCACATAGTCATATATTTGAAACCAACAAATGTCTCTTTTTTTTTTATACAAATCCATCTGTCTAATAATATGCAAAAATGCACAAAACAATTTAGACTTACTTTTTTTTAAAAGAAATGTAAAGAAAAGAATAAAAGACATTTTTTCCCGTATATTCTACATTTAAAGAAATGAAAGAAGTTGCCCTGAAAATGGAATGTCCGACCGAACAATACGTTGTTTGTCTCACAAATGGCTCTTAAGATATCAAAGCTATATCTCGTTGCTATCTGTAGTAGTTTCCGAGAAAACAGTCCGTAAAACAATTTGGCTCATCCTGCGGATATAACGTGGATTGGATGCAAGGAATTTTCAGCGCCATCAAAAGGCGCAGCGAGTACATTATATTGTCTGCTTTTCAGTTTCGCGGCTCTTTTACCGGTTTTAAGCCGGCCAACTCCCCTTTAAATCGAATAAAAGTCAGATGGTCCCGGGCTTCTGTTTTATTTACGTTAGATGCGATGGTCGACCACGCGCGAAGAAGGTTCGGTAACTAAATAGACAGGAACAAGGGATATATATGATATCAGATACGTTCACCTAGTCACGAAGTTAGCGATGTCATCACCGAATATTTGCACCGAATGTGGCTAAGAATATCAATTTTTCACATATGTATGTTTCGCGATATTTTAGCAAGATCAAATCAAACAACATATAAAATCTCTCTTTTAAATTCTTATTTATTCATTGGATTTATAATGAATCAGATATATATTTATATATATATATATATATATATATATCATAAATAAATATATTATGTTTAAAGAACTGCAAGTTGGCGTATTTTTCGTGGAGAAAAAGTCAAATTTAAAATCTGTTTTGTATGTGCGTATGTAAACCTTTATTTCAACTTAATTTTTATATATGTATATATAATGATAAATAATAAACAATATTAATTTTAATTAGGACATTATGATTAAAATGAATAAGCAATGTTAATTAATTTCGACATTATAATTAAAGTTATGAACATTATGGTTAAATGCAAAATAATATAAAATAATGGCACAATAAATGGAAGTAGCATATTGTCAATAAAAGTAATGTATATGAAAGTAATATAGGTCAATAAAGGTAATACAGATGTAGGTCAATGAAATTATTATAAGTTAATAAAAATATTATAAGTTAATTTATAATTCTAATAATAATAAATAATAAACAATATTAATTAATTTGAAACATCATAAATAAAAAATTAAATGCAAAATGATGATATAAAATAATAGTACAATAAATGTAAGTAGTATAAGTCAATGAAAGTAATGTAGATTAATGAAAGTAGTGTAAGTCAATAAAAGTATTACAAGTCAATATATATAAATAATAAATATTAAACAATATTAATTAATTGGAAACATCATAATTAAAAAATTAAATGCAAAATGATGATATAAAATAATAGTACAATAAATGTAAGTAGTATAAGTCAATGAAAGTAATGTAGATTAATGAAAGTAGTGTAAGTCAATAAAAGTATTACAAGTCAATATATATAAATAATAAATAATAAACAATATTAATTAATTTGAAACATCATAATTAAAAAATTAAATGCAAAATGATGATATAAAATAATAGTACAATAAATGTAAGTAGTATAAGTCAATGAAAGTAATGTAGATTAATGAAAGTAGTGTAAGTCAATAAAAGTATTACAAGTCAATATATATAAATAATAATTAATAAATAATATTAATTAATTTAAAACATCATAATTAAAAAACTAAATGCAAAATAATGATATAAAATAATGATGCAATAATGTAAGTAGTATAGGTCAATAAAAGTAATATAGATCAATGAAAGTAGTATAAGTTAATAAAAATACTACTTTATATGTTACAGATTAACTTTTAGTCTACATAATCAATTCCATTATGCATCGATTGGTGAGTAATAAATTTTTATTTTATGGTAAAAAACGTCAAGTATATATAAATAATAGATTTTTTACTTCTATTTATTGCATACAGATATGAATCCTTTTTAATGTACTTAACGTTTGTTTTTACCATTTTTTTAGAAAAGTGTTTTATAAACTATATGTGTTTTATATTATTTATTTCGTATAGATCTTAAAAGTTTAATTCAATTAATTTTAGATTCAATTTATTAAGTACAGGTTTGCTAAAATTTATATTACTATGACAAATTCAAATCTATTTAATAAGACAGAATTTAAATTTGTATACATATGCATATATATATATATATATATCTCATCATATCTCATATCAAATTGATATCTTGCGATCGCGTAATTCGGGAGTAAAGCGTATTCAAATTAGTAGTATATGTCGATGAAAGTGTCGTGTAAATCACTGAAAGTAGTATAAGCAATACGAATCCTACGAGTCAATATATCTAATATTAAATAATAAGCAATATTAACTCATTTGGACATCATTATTAAAGGGTTAAATGCAAAATGATGATACAAAATGATGCTGCAATAAATATAAGTAGTATAGGTCAATGAAGGTAATAATGCAGTGTAGATCGATGAAAGTAGTATAAGTCACTAAAAATACTACAAATCAATATATCTAATAATAAATAATAAGCAATAATAATTCATTTGAACATTATTATTAAAGAGTTAAATGCAAAATGATGATAAAATAATGTTGCAATAAATATAAGTAGTATAGGTCAATGAAGGTAATGTAGATCAATGCACAAGTAGTATAACTCAATAAAAATACTACAAGTCAATACCATCTAATAATAAATAATAAGCAATATTAATTAATTTGGACATCATTATTAAAGAGTTAAATGCAAAATAATTGCAATAAATATAAAATAGTATATAAATCAATAAAAATATTATAATCAATATGTGTATATGTATAAACGTTTGTAATTTATATACACCTATACATATATAAATCGATCGGGCACAAACATCACGCGATGCGTGCCTAACCGCGAGATAACCGGCGACAGATAGAATACCTAAAACGCATCTGCCGAGGCTTGTTACACGCGCGATGTAGAGTCATGGCTGATGGCCATTGTGTGTCGAAGCGCTATCGACATTATATCGCGCGCGGGAATGTGTGTCGCGCCGGGAAAATCTTGCGTGTGTTTGTGCGAGGGTGGGGGCAAGAGTCCCGCGGAAACAATTAATCTAGCCCGCTGATTACTCCACCGACGCATCCGTTCCCGGGTATCCACGTCGCTCGGCCTCTCCGCGCAGCCAGCCGAGATGTCAAAACTCGAGATATTAATATGTTCTCTCGGCTGGCAGAGAGATGGCCGCGCGCGCCATCGGGGTCTTATTGTGATATACACACTCTCCTACGATTAAATTATTATGTCTCCATCGTTGCTTCTACTACTACTGCTACTACTGTCTGTAAGATTAGCGGAAACGCCGGGAAACGCGCTCTCGCTCTCTAAACATAAATCTGTTTAGATGGCTGCGATAAAATGCTTACGCTCTGTTTCGCGCAAAACTTCGCGACGGTAAGCTGACTCCATTACGCGAAATGAGATTTATTCGGAGGATCTAATGGGTTCACAGTACGATACAATAAGACCGTAAATAACAATCGATCGGGGAATGTTCTCCGCTAATGGTGCAACAGAATTAACGTACAACGTATATGAGATAGTGGTTTTTTTCTTCTCGGAAACAATAAAACATGACAGGATAGTGATATCGAGAGAAATATGAGTCTTCATACATTCGTTTAGAAAAATAATTATTTTTGATAAAAGCATCTCTCTCTCTCTCTCTCTTTCTGTTTCTACTTTTCAACAAAATGCAATCATAATTTGTCGATAATTTAAAGCTTAAAATTAATAAAAAATGTGAGTAATTATTAGAAATTGCATATCACTGATATATTCTTGTTAAAATTTTCCTTAGCAAAATGAAAGAAATCTTCAAAGAAAAGAGATGCGCACGAGTAAAAGTCTACTTTTCGGACAATAATAAATTTGCCTTTTCGGTATTAAATTATTATCATTTTAATATTTGAATACAAAGAGACGAAATCGGATTATTTTTGTAAAAGAGTTCTAAGAGAGAAAACCAATTACCTAACGCGTTTAATAGTGTTTTTCGAAGAATTTCGTAATATTGTAGAAATACATGAAATAAAGTTGAGCAATTTTAGCGATACATCAATATATTTCACAAGTTAGCGCGTTCTCACCTACAACGTGTAGATAGCCATATTGCGTTTTGGCGGCGGCGGTGTTAATCTGGCACATGTACTTTCCTTGTCCTCCTCGTGCACGTCGTTGATATGTAGGAACCAGGTCCTGTGCTTATCGTGCGACACGGATATTCTGGGGTTCCTGGTAATAACGTGATTCTGTACCGTCAGGATAGCGCTCTTGTCGAAAAGCATCCAGGCCACCTGAAACGGGACGGATATCATATTATATCGTAAATAGTTCGCAGAGTCGCGTGTAATCGGAAATTGCTATACTTTGGAAGACGATATGTTTAAACATTCAAAATTATGCATCCAATTCTTGGGAATTTATATACCTTTATTTTCCGATTAACGCAAAAGAGAATCTCTCGTCCCATATATTTGTTTGTATATTTTATATTTTCAAATAAAGATTCCTCAAAAACTTTGATGTGCGTGGGTCGGATGTGGGGATGCATATTTTCTGATATAGTTGTGTAGTAAACTAGAGATCGCGAAATATACGGAATAAAGATGTATAGTGACGATACGAAGAAAGGAAAGCGAAGGAACAAGAAGAAATGAGATTCGCGAACGGGACGGATGATCAATGATGCTTTCAAGCACCGAGTGATCTACAAACCTACTACGGTTATAGATATTCCTAACCAAGCGGAATAAATCGCTCCGGGATTTTGCGAGGGCGTCCCTTATGGAATATCCTCCATACGTACTAACGCAATATATATATATATATATACATATATACAGGGTGACCGGTAACTAACGGACCAATGATTAAGGGTGGATTCTCGGGCCAATTTGGAGACGATTTTTCCTTAGCAAAAATGTTGAGAAGTCAATAATTTTCGAGTTATAAGCGATTGAAAAAAAAAATGGGTTTTTCGAAAACTAAACGTTTTGGAGTTAAAAGTCTAACATAATTACAGTCTTCAGTTAATTTCAGGTAGAGTTTACTATAATAAAATTTGAATTTGAGGTTTAGTTATAAAGATACATAATGACAAATATTGGAAAGTTGTAAAAAATGATGACATTTTCGCTGAGGAAAAATCGTTCCCAAATTGACCAAAGAATCCACTTGTAATCGTTGGTCCGTTAGTTACCGGACACTCTGTATATATTGTGTGTGATATGTCTTCTCTCTGTTTTATTCGCGCAAAGTTTTCCGCGGACGAATAAAAACTCGGTCTTCCCATCGTTCAAATGACCGCTTATTGAGATCCCGGTCAGCTGCTTCTTGCATAGCATCGTTGAATAACGTCGATTGTTATTACCATTGAAATATGTAGCTGTCTCTCCCGGGAAGGGAAACAAAATAGAAGACGAGATAAGTAGAAAGTATCGCGACAACGGGATGCGCGGAAGTGCTCCGGAGATATTTAGCCGATTTTCCCATTCACGTCGAAGAAAGTGAAGGCCTTACGAGCGGTAACAAAGGGAAACGAGAGAAAGAGAGGAAGAATAAAGGGGAAATTCTGATCTCCCTTCCTTCTCGCTCTCTCTCTCTCTCTCTCTCTCGTTCGCTCCCGTTCGCGAAAAGTCCCTGGAGAAATAAGAAGGGCAGCGAGTTCTTTCGCTCGGGCACGAGGAGAGAGAACCGTTGCACTTACTTCAACACAGCCGACTCTTTTCACAATGTGCAAATGCACCGCGTTGTACAGACAGGCTATATTGCGCCATCGTGATAACTCTCTGCCGCGCGATGTTAACTCGCGATGCTGGCTAGGAGGAGACTTAAAGTAAAACAGAGCGAAATGCGTGTGCGCGGAAAAGCAAAACGTCACCGCATATTTTATTCGAAATATACGATTACAATTAGTGATACACGCGCATTTATGTAATTGTTGCACCGTATTTGTGGTAATTTGACACACAAGTATAACAAAAAAAATGAACATACGCAGTAGTGTTGTGCTAAGATGATTTTTAAATTAGCTATGTAAAGATGAGATCTCTTAGATAGGATGATTTTGTTTTAAATATGTCTAGTTAAAAAAACTCATCTAGATAACTTCCAGATAATATTATCTCGATTTTTAAGACCGCTTATATAAATACAGTTATAAAATATAATACTTTTTTTCATCTAACAACAAGATGCGGATATAGATAATACATATTTTTAATTTCTATAAAGATAAGACAACGCCAAAAAATTTCATCTAAATAATTTTATTTAGATAACAGCGAACACTGAACATACGATAAACGTAAAAAAAAAAATACAATAAACAAAACGAAAATTGTAACATTAAAATACGATTATATATAATTTAGCTCTTGCAGAGCAAAGTCGTAAATACATATTTAAACGGAGAGGAGGACTTTTAACGATCGGGATTAACGCGATGGAGAAGAGAGGAGACCGTAACTATTCGCTTCCGACTCGGAGAAGCAAGGAGATCGTTTCTCGTGTCTTTCGAGCGTAAGCGAATTTTCGTCCACCATTTATCCAGTCGCTTTTGCCGTAGCGGATATCGGCGGTTATCTTCGCAGAGAGATCGGAGAGTACGCGAATCTCGGCGGGGAATGGAATTGTACGAATACATCGAGCGAAATCGCGGTTGACACTTTCGTCATTTGCCTTTCCGACGTTCTAAGCTGCGGTTAATTACTTTTCTTTCTATGAAAATTAAGTCCGTGATTCCAACTACGTGTTAAATGCGAAAAGGAGATGTTTGAGTTTATTACAGTTTTTAATAATATTACAGTCAAAGAGATTTTCTTCAAGTTTTTAATTATTTTCTCTCTCTCTCACTCTCTCGTGATTGATTGGATCTATTCCGATTTTTAAGATTACGCGTTTTCCTTTACACGCTAATTTTATGTATACGTTAGGACGATCATCGGTCGTAAAATAATTTGTGCGAAATTTCACTTTGAGAAAATACGTTTTACTTTCGGTGTTGGAAAAATTGATCGTGAATAAGAAAATGTTAAACGCATTCGATATAATACTTCTCGTTCGTTTGGAAGAGAGCTCCTTCAACTTTATAACGACACTGTTCTTACGAAAATTCTTGGAGAAGATCCAAATATCAAATAATATGAGTTGGAAAGTATTCATGCTTCTTGTGGAATAGTAAGCGTCCTTAACTCGATTCTTTTAATCTTTCACACTGGCCTCTTCCGCCTCTCTGTGGGGGGATAATCGAAAAGAATATCATTACGCTATTTTCTTCAATTGCCGACGTTTGTAATAGCATTAACTTGAATTCTCTTTTTCTCAAACTTTTTATCGTACTTAATAATCGAAGGAACGAGGAAAAATATCGCAAGGCGCGATATAACTCCAAGATAGCGCGAATATATATTTCAGCGATAAAAATATATTATTCTAATAGCATCGAGAACAAAAGAAAGAAAGAAAGAAAAAAAATAAAGAGACGCGGCCAATCGGAAATGGAATTTTTCCGCTCTACATCGATTCCTCGAGCTGTCACTTACGTCACCTTCACAATATAATATCGACGTGCCGTTAAGTTTCGGGTTCAGCACGCGTGGAAACATATAAAGAGCTACACGGAAAGCAAGTTCGAGTGACCATCTTTCCGAGTCGCTTCCCGATGCATCAGCATGCAAGCCGCACGAAAACTAAGATGGATGCGCGAGAGTAAAAAGAAAGAGAGAGAGAGAGAGAGAGGAGGGTTTGCTCTAGGAGTTTGTTCCCCCAAGAGCGCGGCACGAAGCATTGATTCCTCAATGCGAGAGGAGAGTTACAGCTTTGTTTACTACGAGGGCGACGAGCTCAGCGCCGTCCAGTCTGGCTTGGCGCTGGCTACGCTACTGTCGGTGTCTTCTTTTCTTCCACGTCGTCTCTCCTCCCCATCCCCCACCCCGTCCCGACCCGGCGGGAACGTCTGGACCGGGAGACCTATAGTTAACGTCAAGATCAACTCTCCTCTCCAACGTCCTTTCCAACGTTCTTCTTCCACGCGAGTACTCCACCGGTGCTCCTGCGCGCGTACGCAAACACATTCACCAGAACCTAGGCGGTTTATATAGAGAACCGTGGAAAGCGAAAGAGCTGGCGAACTGAGCCAACCCTCCCCGACTCTCGTTCCCCAACCTCCAGTTCCAGCCATTGTGTATGTGGAAAGTTGGACCACATTCCGGCTGAATGTATTACAACCACTTAACCCGCAAGCTGTCGAGGCCCGGAGAATCCATGACGTTTCGTGTACCTTTACCAAGACTGATAGTTTGTTTAATAGGTACATTAAGAGCTTCGATGACTCCAGTTTGAAGACTTCGCGTGATGGAAAGTGCTTTTTTGCGGAAATATATACTCATCAATATATTCATTGAAAAGAAGAAAGACTTGATTCTTTTGTATTGTTATTAATTTTGTGGGACTAGACAAAAGAGATATGTTTTGTATTCTCGTTTCGTTGATTTTACAACACCTTTTCGTTTTTATATATACACATGTATGTATATAAACAGTTGTTCGCGCGTGCAAAGCGTCAAAAGATTTGATAAAAATTTAGAAGGTGTAAAAACACAATAGGAAAAAATCACAGCTAACGCTACTTGTTAACAGAACTCGTTAACAGTCTGTATAAAGTTGGATTGGATTAGCACTCAAACTGTCGGAAATTCGAACCATGTCCTCCGGCAACTTGATTTAACAAATTGAATGCAATAAATCGCGTCCCGACACGCAAACGCGTTTTTGTTGTGTCTGGATTTTTTTAGTTTTATTTACACGATAGCACACATAGCGGTGCACCAAATCTTTCCCCTTACGTAAACCTGAGGATTTACTCTTCTCTCGTCGCGAAATCAGTGAATGGAAATGTAACAATGAGCGCCTTGCTACGCCCGGCTTTGCGAAGCTTCTTCATCAACAGACCCTTCTCTCGCCACACCCTTACACCACATCGTCTTGTACAAGAACTTAGGGCACCTTATAGATAAATGTATTAGGACCACTTATCCCACAAGCTGTCGGGTGTTCCTCGTACTTGTAGGCAACCTCTTAATTATCATAGAGCGCTAAGCCATTGCGCAGACCGGAAGTACGAAAGCGCTGTCGTGAGTGCTAAAAGCATCTAGGAACTGTCAAAGACTCTGAACAGATGAGATTATCTCGCAAGTCCACACGTCGTCTCTCGCTAAATTTCTCATAGAACTACGACGAAAGAAGTGTACACGTTGAATATACAGGGTGTCCGATAACTAACGGATCAATGATT